TTCTGGTTTCCTAGCGGTTTGGGCACAAGTGGTAGCAAAACAAGCCTTTTGAGGTGGGAACAGCTCAGCCCTTATTTCAGAAGTTTAGGTCGTAGTTCCAAAGTGACGTCGGGTGAGGTCGCTATAGTTCGATCAGATATTTGGCCTTGGCCTTGATCCTTTCTGATGTAGAGAGTAGAGATGTGCTGTAAGCCTTTTGAAGCCTTGTCATCTGGCCATTGAAGCTCCGAAGCCAAACCAACACCTGTGGTCAAATGGCGCACACACACTTATGGATATGCGTACTGACTGACAGCGGTGCCACACGCCGGCCTAGGGTACCATTTCCTAAGGGTACAAGTAAGAACCACGGATCCTGAAGGTCTTCAAAAGGAGAAGTGGCCCAATGCGGAAGAAACAAAGCGACGATCACGGGTCGAACAAGATGACGGCGGTCAGTGCACATCTGCAGCACTCATTAGCCCTTTACGGAAGATTAAAAATTGTTACTGCAGGTACGTCTGGCTGATCAGGCCAGATATCCGCATGTACTGTGGCCGCTTCGTTGGACCATCGCTCACAGCACATGGATGGTCCCCCTGCTGAAGAAAACGAAAAACAATTCAAAAGAATCCCTGTGACTACAAGGGGCACACACACAAAACCTCCAAAGTTTGCTGAGATTCATAGAGGTCTTCCATGAACTCGCGTAGCAGTTCTCGTGTTGCAGCCTGATACTCCTTGTCACCAAATTGAGTCATGTTGGTGAGCTCGAAGGAGCGATCGACCTCATCGCATCGGCCCACATCTTTAGGCGACAACCAAAAGGAATCTTTCAACCTTCAAACAAGAACTATGATGGAGTGAGCCTATGGCCTATGTTCATCCTTTTTCATCCACGTTCTTCATGTTTCACGCGGAAAAAAGCTGTGGCCGGTGACCCTTCTTCATGTACACCCCGGACGCCACACCTGCCTGCTGCATGAAGATCCCAGAGACGGTGTTGAGCCAAAGCAAAGACCCCAGAACCAGGAAGGTCAAAAGGACCATTCCTGGAGCAGCGAGAGGACACTCAAATGGACTAAACCTGTCGGCGACAGGTTTAGTCTCCCGATTCAATGACCCTTGTCTCACGTGTTCACTTGGCAGGGCGAAGAATTGCCCTAAACACCGTTGATAGAAAGCATCCGCATCGTCAAAAACCTCAAACCCGAGTGGGCTCCCACTGAGCGGATGGGGTCGCGACAAGGCCAAGCAGAAATGAATAAACCTCTCGCTGCAAGTGCCCGTCCTGCAAAGACCGTGTCCTGCACAGGGCTGCCAGGAATATTCTACAACATCATCACCTTCTCCAGAATCTATATACATGTGGCTATGTTTGGTTGCTTTAAGCCTGGAGAAAAGAAGGCTACATGTATGGTGGAGTATTGTGCAAGAAAGTATCTACAATACAACTGTACTACAATATATACATATATACACATATGACCTAGGTATATATGCATAAGAATAGCAATCAGTGATCAGTGCTTATTAATCCAAAAGTATACCCTTTGAGGCTTAGTCAAACAAGCCTATTGACTGCTGTGTTAAGAGGGAGGAGGAATACAGTTCCTATCAAGTAGAAGAGAGACAGAGAGAGAGATAGAGAGAGAGAGAGAGAAAGAAAGCAAAAAAGGAAGGGAATGCGATTCACACCAGACAGCAGCAGCAGCAGCAGAACTAGTTCTAGCGGGAGTGTTGAATGTCATTAGTACTTCAAGTGCCACCAGGAGCAAAAATGGTAGCAGTAAAGCGCCGGCTCCCCGCCAAAGATTCGATCGAAATTCCTTCCACTGGTCAGTAGCATTTTCTGGCTGCCAGGATTCTATATAATTAATATAGCTTCAACCCAAAAGCATCCAAAAGCGTAATTTGGTTCTCATACATTGCAATACATTGTCTTCCTTTTAAAGTCAAGCCCCTTCGGATTTCTCTTCCTGTTTGAGCCATGTCGTCACTTTTTGTGTCTTAGTCTTAGTCGTCACACCTCATCCGAAGCAAACACAGCCCCTTGCGTGATCCTTTGAGTGCTGGAGCGTTCTCACAAGCAAAAACATCTGCAGAGTAACAGTGTCTTCTGTCTTCACCCCACACAGACACAGAAAAAGATAGAAAAAGAGTGTGTGTTCTTCATCAAGAAATCTCCATCCCATCTTTTTCAATGCTTTTCTACTCCCCACCTCTCCCCACATGGACCACTCCTGGTTGAAGAGCAAGAGATCCACCAAGTCTGGGCCCCACTCGATGCCGCCCAGTAAGCATTCGATCACCGACAGCACGCTCCGTTCCACCGAGCGAAAGCGGCCACCTGAAAGGGTGCTCCGTCGGACGGCCGTCGGGGGGGGTCCACAGCTGCAAAGACATGCAACCTGCGCGAGGCGTCTGAAGGTGTTACATGCTGCTCGCGGAACATGGACGATCCGAAGCACCAAACAGATTGAGCATGTTTGGACACACCTGCATGGGGCCCCCGCGCTAAACCATGGGGCCCCGCGCTAAACGTGGGCGGGTCTCAGGTCCAACCCGACATGGACGGGTCGAAATCGATGACATGGACGCTGGGACTCCTCTTTTCGCCCAGGGGCGAACCAGCTCCGGCAAATCTGAGAACTTGGGATTGCTTGGACCTGCGCGGCCGCCAGCACTGCGTCAAGCTGGCCGCTCCGGCACTGTTGAATTAGGACCCCCTAAGAGTACCAGCAATCAGGAAAGGATGTCTTTGTCTATAGAGTCATATTTCATCGTCCTTAGACTATCTTAGATATCTTTAGCCGCCAGTGAAACTATGCGATGCTTCTTGCTCAACCCAGCCCAGCTTCTGTAAATAACCCAGCCCAGCTTCTGGGTGAAAAGGACAGCTTACTTATTTGCAAAGCCAAGTAGACCCAGCAAATGACAAAGAACCACAGCTACCGTGAAGGTCCTTGTGGCGGGGTGCGGAAGTGCCACTTGAGGCAGCCCAGGAGTGTCTACTGTTGTTGAAGGCGACATGACATGGTGTGTGGAGAAAGGGGGTCAGCAAGTGGCTCAGCATAAATTGCTTAAACGAAGTTAGTGCATCAAAAATGCCTTCCACGATGTCCTACGAAGGTTACTGGGCTTTTGTTACGGTCCGTTCTCCTACTGGCCCACCATTCCACGAAACGTCCACGAATAGCCCTGGGTTGCACGAATGTCCGGGCCTTCCACGAAGTTAGTAGAATAGGTTGTTGCAAAACCTTTTCTGTGCACTACTTCCGTTTGGCTTCTGATTGTGTCTCGCTTCCTCTTGCCTGTAGAAGTTGGGGGCAATCTCTGCAACCCCCAGAATGTGCTATTTCTGTCCTCCAACAAATTCTCTTGCACAGTGGGCAAGAACTGTGGTTGGGTTTCAGGGTCCAAGATGAGAACCAGACGCGCGGACCGAGGGGATTGGAGCACTTTAACCAAGCTTCAAAGATGCCAAGTAGATGAACACCACCATCAGTGAGTTCATGGAGTGCTTAAAGCCCACTGCCTGGAGTCAGTTGATTCCACGCAGTTCTGTTCGGCTCTAAGACCTCTGTTCGACGCCAAAAGATGTAAAAAAGAAACGACGACCGTCCCAGGTGAAGCTGTCATGAGCCGGTCCCGCTGGACCTGTTCGTACCAACAACAAGCACGGCCGTAGCGAGCACATGAAATCGTAGCAACGAGCACATTGAGTAGATGCCAAACATGGAGCATGATGAATCTCACAGCTGACTCGTGACCAAACCTGATAGGACGTCATCATGCACCATACTAATTATGACATAGGTACTACTATATACTATTATGTACTACTAGCATCTACTATCCTCGGCCTCAGAGCTCTTCCCACTAAATAAACCCACATTCTTGGCCAATCCTGTTTCCAGTGGAAGAACTGCGGATTTGAGACCAGAGATGACCAGAGTGTTCAGGGGTTTTGCATGGTTTTGCTACTTCACCTCCTTTCTGCTTCCAAAGGGCTGCCAAGTACATGGGCCTAAACCATTTGATGTTGGCCAAGGCTGCAACACCTGCGCCACATTCATGCATATTCATGCTCTGTTCTTCGGATCAAAATAAGACTCGTAGCGACAAGTGATCTGTGGCACTCATAGCAACTCTTATGCAAAAATGTGGATTGCGCAACCAGTGGCACTGACCGCAAATGTGGGAATGTGGAATCGGCCAAGTGTGGGCGGGCACAAAACACACGTCGGCGTTGCCAACACAAGTCGACGCATCCAAGAAGATCTCTAGAAAGTCTCAACCAATGGGCCAGTGGGGATCTAGCGAAATTTTCGGGGTTTTTGGAAACACAGGAAAGAAACAAAAAACAGCATCCGCCTCTCGAACAAAGAAAGACAGCTCATTGAATCTCATTCCATTCTTCAAAGGTGCCAAATTTGGGAAGTATGGAACATCTCGCCTCAAATCTCAAATCTTTCAAAGCCACCGATTCCCCCGCTTCGATCTCGACCAAGCTCCGGCCTCGACCGACCCGGAAGACACGGAAGATGTTCATCACGGTGATGGTAAATGTGCCTCCGTTCGGGAACGGTGAGAAACGTGGTGAATGAAAATGGTCACTACATTGAGTGCCAACGACATGGGCTGGGCGCAAAGATTCAGATATGTTTCCATTGTGGTCACTGGCAAAGACAAGCATGAGACAAAATAGATCCAAATAGACTAGAGCATCAAACGATCATCCATTGACCCCCAAACGATCGATCCCCAAACTCAGCAAACGGACGTTTTTCCGATGCGTTGCTGCCCAGCTCGGCATGTCGTGGGTCGCGTGTTGCGCGTTTGGGACACCCACCTTCATTCCAGCCGAGTGGTCGTAGAATCCAGATCTCCACAGCCGGACACCTGACATTTGATCAGACCGCCGTCGGCCCTGCGCCGGCTGCAGCACGGCCATGAGAATCGGAATACATTGGAATACCCTGCCCTGCAGTCAGTCCCAATTTCAATTGGAGGCTGCCAAGCGAAGAGAGTCATCTAAGTTAGGCTGAGAATGCCGAGGAGTGTGCTGCTAAAACAATTTCCGTCAAGGGATACTCAGACCCTTCCCTTCCACAGTTCTAGCCAGCATTACCCCTTGCGGCGACCATCTACTGTATGCCCCTGGTGCAGTGGAGTGTCCCAATCACAACGAGGTCGAAGCAAAGCCAAAGATCGTGCCAAAATCGAATGCTTGCCTTGCCAGGTAGCGACCCGTCATTCCCCGTCTCGAAATGAAAGGGCTCTTGGACCCTGTCTCGGACCCCACCCAACCAGCAAGAGACGCATGTGATGTGCACAGTGTGTCAGTGTGTGTGTTCATGTATGTGTGCACAAACACATGCTCATGGTTGATAATATATATATATATATATCTATACTGTCACAATTCTTGCTCCAACACCAACAGAAGTCACAACCTGCTCTGACGAGAACAAATGCTGAAAGACCCCGGACTTTTGGAAGCATTCAGTGTTCTTCAACCGACGACTGCAGGGTTTCAGGGCGTTTGGGAAATAAATCCGGCTCAGTGAATGAGAATTTGAGGATCTGTCCAAGCCTTTTCAAGACAGTGTGCTGGTCTGAAACTCCCGGTCGCGACTGACCTTGTGCGTTGGTGTTTCAATCCTTGGAGACGTGGAGGGGACCACTGGGGTCCACTTAGTCCACTCATGGTTGACCACCAATAGAGTCTAGAGACTACAAGGGATATGCTTTTGGGGTGCAGGTTTCGACCCACACCCACATCATATTGTATTATATGATATTGATCAATATTGATCATATATTGGTAACAATACCGCACTCAAGGGTTCTGTTTCGCTTGTTAAGCGCCCTGGCCATGCTGCAAAGTAGATCATGCGGATGATGAGCTCAGCAAGGAAGACACCTGTGAGCAGGCCGGGATCTCGGATGATCACATCTGTGATCTGGGAAGAAATGGCATGCTTCTGAGGATATGGCACACAAAGGATTTCAGACCTTTGTCATGAAACATCTTGAGAGTACTGAAGTTCGCAAGAGCTGTAGAAAGTGAAGCAGAACGGTTTCTAGATGTTTGATAGAAAAGCCATCGCAAGTTGGACATGGTGTTCTTTGGCTTGGACACTGGGCTGATATTGAAGAGTGTCCGATCCGAATGCAAATTTCGGGATGCCACGGCTTGATCACAGACTTGCTGGAGAGCCTACATAACATAACACATTGCTCAAACGATCTTCGGTCCTTGGTCCATTTCTTTGTGTTGTTCTGGATAGGCAGCTCTGAGATGCCTGTGAAAAGGCTCTCGATCACAAAGAAGGCGGTGCCATCGGCGTGTTCGTTCACTTCGATATCGACGTAGCTGTTGGCCAGAAAGCCTGGCATCTTGAAAAAAAACACATCCCCAGCTTAATGTCATTCAAGTGATCCAGTCATGCCTATCCAGCTTAAGGATACCAAAAACAGTCTGTGCGTCTCAATGGGCACTGTCGGACAGGAAGGCACAGATCCCCATTTGTGAACTCGGAGTTTTCCTTAGGCTTAGACTTCTGCAAGCCATTCCTAGCTGAAGCTCACCGCAGATTGCCCTTGAAAGCCACACCAACTGTCTCAGTGTACCTGAGACGAGGAGAAAACACCACATCCAAAGGTCCTGAGACGGCCTGTCCAAACCATGTTGAGCAAAATGATCAAGGCATTGGTGGACAAAAAGAGCTTGCTCGTCAGCAGCCTCGCAAAAAACAGCCAACATTCGCCAACCACACAAGAACGGAAAGGTCCGGGGCACAGAAACCGTTTCCACCAAGCTTAAGGACCTTACTTCAAGGAAAAAAATAATATGGGGATTGACTTTAGTGACTTCAGTGTTGATTGGGTTCGATATGCCACACGGCATATCAAATGGTGGCCCATATCGCTCAGTTGCGTGACCGTCACAGTCAGGTCCGTCAGGTACATCACCAAGGTCCTCGACCTTTATCGACCGTTTTTCCGGAAAATTCTCGGTACCAAAGTACTTTGAGATACTTTGAGTATGCATTGCATCCGAAGGGCCTCAAGGGCGGTGGCTCACGTGATGATCGTGATGCAGTTCGGTCGAAGTGACAATCCGGGCCATTTGGCCCATTGAAATTTCGCTTGGCTAGGAGCAAGAAGCTACTAGGAGGAAAGGGCATCGCTACTAGGAGCAAGGACGCTACGAACGGGGCTCCTGGCCTTACTAGGAACAAGAAGCTATTAGAAACAAGAAGCCCCTACAAGCGTTGTGCCTCCTCATCCATGTCGGTGGCTTGTAGAGGCGTGGCGGCCCGGGCCCAGACCTTTGGCCCACATCGATCGCTTCGCCGTTCGGATCATTCCAGGAGACCCTGCCACGAATGGAACCATGGAACCTGAGAATTGACCGGTGGTTTGGACCATTTCCTCTACAACCCAGTGGTTCTGGGGTTCCATGTTACTTTGTGCAGGGGAGTTAAACAAATTGACCCCTGAAACATCCAGAAACCATCTGAAACCACCTCAATGTAGGCGCATTTATTGGCATGGCGTGTCTAAAATTATTCTATCATCTATGATCATCTTCTCTCCAATTTGGGAAGCACTTCTTCGCCAAATGGGTCTTCCAAATCCACCCCACGTCCTCGCATAGATCCACCATTCGTAGTGTGGCTCGCTTCCAACGTGTCAGACCGTCCGCGCCAAGCAACGCAATGGAGCCGGCAGTGTTGGTGCTGCGAAGGGATCTCTTCTTTTTGATTGGCGCCTGCATCACAAAAGGAAGCACCGAAAAGCTTGAGTGCCGGGTCCTGCCAGGGGTCTCATGTGCCCTCCAGGGATTCCTTCCAAAAGACTGGACAAGAAACTGAAGCAATATGGATTATTTAACGGTGTTTGCAAGGGTGATCACTTCCCTCAAGTTCCACAGAAACATCTTGGAAGAACTTCCGGCCATGACAGATCATGACTGCCCTTTTTGAGATTAGCTTCGATATATATATATATCAACCACTCCTCGGCGTTCACCCTGGTGCTTGAACCGTTTGGTCATGTCTTGTCGGATCCCAAAGATCCGAATTGGCCTCCTCAGCGGACTCGTCCGAAACGTTGTCCTCTTCCTATCAGGAATGTCGAACAGTCCATTTCCCAACGAACATGAAAATCAACTGTAACTTCTCGCCACTTCTCGCCACTTATGACTATTTCATGAGCACGTTCATCAGCTGTGCAGAAACGGTTTCTATGACACTTTTTTGACCTCACGAGCCGCTCGCTGTCGCCCTGCTCCCTCAGTGGCCTCATGGCATGGACTGGTGGCACTGGGACTGGATGCAGGCGAGCTGAGGTCCTGGCGAACTGACATCACCGACCGAAGCGACCGAAGCTTAGCTGAGCGCCAAGTCGGTGTGGCACAAGGCACCATCTCTCAAAAATTGGGGAACCATGTTCTAAGACCTCCGACCACTCTTTTTTTAGCCTCTACATTTTTGTCACCTCCCAACACTTGTTTTTAACCCCCCCCGAGTCCTGTAGGGAAGCCAATGACAGGGGGATGGGTGAAGCATGTTGCAGTAAGAAAAAGAACAAGCCACGGCAGAGCGAGGGGAGGCGCTGCACCCTCCCCCTGCACCCCCCACCCGCTTTACCATATTGCCGCGTCATGCGCGGGGGTTTGTTGAGGCGTGGTGCAGCAAGAAGAACAAACATGCGGGCAGAGACGCTGCGCCCTCCGAAAAGTTTGCGGAGTTTAAGCACAAGGTCGGAAGGCTGGTGGTCAAAAGAGGCTTGGGGATTAAAGCAAAGTGTGTGGTTAAAACAAGGCCGGCTTTCAAACAAAGTTAAACATGGGCTGGGAGGTGAGAAGAAACACGTGGAACATGATAAGGCTTTAAGGTGATAAAGCAGGGGTGCGCAGTGCAGTGGCTTTGTTGTGTGAGATGCAAGGCTATGGCTTCAAGCATTGAGCTCCAAGGTGGAAGACGGCGGGTCGCATCCGGGGCAGCGGTGTTGAAATTTACGCCTAATGGGCCTAATGGAGCCCAGCTAGCGAAAGGACTTTTGCGGGCTCTGCAGCGCCCTCCAACGGCGCCAGCACCCAGGCTCCAAAGCACACACGGCCAAATACACATCGCAGCAGCACCTTGGGCGGCACCCAGCAGCGGCACCAGCGCCCAAGCTCCAAAGCGCACACGGCCACACATCTGGCAGCGGCACCCTGCAGCAGCACCAGCACCCAAGCTCCAAAGCGCACACAGGCACCTCTGCCTATACTTGAAGTAGGAACCCCAATAGCTCTCGCTATCTGGAGAAAAAGGTATGTTTTAAAAAATGGTTGAGGTTGAGGGGTTAAAGAACAGCGGGTGAAAAGGAAGAGGTTCCAGGGAGTAAAATAGACAGCTTTTCGGGAAGGGTTAACAAAAAGGGATTGGAGCAATTAGAAAAGGTCCAGGGATTCAACAAAGGTCGGGTGGTTAAAGAAAAGAGGTTAGGGGTTAAAAACACAATTTGGTGGTTAAAAAGAAGGGGTTCTAGGGACTGCTTTTCGGAGAGCGTCAAAAAAAGGGCTGAGACGGTTAAAAAATGGTGTCGGTTTAAACAAAAAGTGGGATGAGAGGGTTTCAAAACGGGGACCCTCAAAAATGACTTGAGTCTGAGTATCTATACTTTTTTCCAAGATTTGCCAAGGACCCAGTCCAAAGCCCAGTCTTTGTTCCTTCTCTAGCACGAGCTATATTCTTAGGCGAGGTGACTAGATTCGTCGCCAAGCCTCATGCCTTTGGAATCATGCAGTCATATGGCATGATCTATGGCTAATCTACAAGACAAAGGTGGTCAGTCCGCCATTATGACGTCGTTTCAGCTCGCTCCTCACGGTCGTTGCTGTCCTCCTCCAGCCCTGCGTGAAAGCTTACCTGTCAACGCCCGAGTCCGAAACAAAGAGAACGAATGGAGAATGTTTCTGGACCGACACGCTAAATTATGATTATAATATATAATATATATATATATTATGATAGTCTGATATGCGCAGCATTGCGCAGTAAATTGACAAACGAATGGTGGACCACCAAACAGCTGGGAGTTTACCCTGTGCCAGTATGAAAGCCTCTCACCTACTTTGAAGACAGGAAGAACGTGGTTGTTTCTTCAGTGATTTGTCTAGGCAAAGCTTTTTGGGTCAATACCTTCAAATTGTGCACAGGTCACAGGTGTTGATGTAATGTTCACTAGCTCATTTCATGATCAACCAACACCCTTATTCCAGGAGCCTGGGTGACTGACATGTCGCTCGCGCAACGCATGTTTGCTGTTGTGAAAGCTTGCGGATGTCTTTGGTGGTGGAACCTCCGCAAGCACTCCTGAAAGTGCTCAGCTCTAATCTTCTGATATCTTTTGAAGGTTTGTAGGTATGCTACAAAGTAAACCATGGGTATACCCTCAAAATTCGCAAAGCTCCACAAACTCCATCTTCCACAGGAAAAACAATAAAAACAGAAAACCCACGACATTCGGAACATGTCGGACATCAAACCCTTTCGCCTTCTGTTGGAGCTTAGGCTTTGATTGGCTCTCCTAACTCGTCGAGATATGGGTCTTCCGGGTCAGGTTGCGTAGGTTGCGCTGGCGACTCTAATGACCGGGTCCATAGGCTTCAGCTTTAGAATTGACAACATTGACATGGTTGTGCAACATTGACATTGATGAATCTTGTATAAAATTGGGGAGCATATCAGGGACATGCACCATATTTAACGGCCAGATGCGGCAATGTAACACACATGACTTTCATGATGTGAAAATAATCACAAGCATTGGAGCACACCACACTGAACACTCAGTTTAGACCATCACAAATTCTCAAGAGAGGCCAAGAAGAAGGAAAAGGGGCTTGCCCCAAATAGCTGGAGGCACATCTATGATTGGCAGAACACTTCGTCATGATAGTGACTCCAGCTCAAACCACCGCGACTAATTAAAGCCTCATTGCTTCATCAATCTGGTGTCCTCCAGGTCATCCAGATCGTCGTGAAAGCTGACCTGGAGCCACGTGGGGCGGCGTGGAGACCCCGCCATGTGACACCTCGGCCTCATCGTCATTCGTGTAGTGACACGGGGAAGAAAAAACACGGTCGTGTAATCCAGTGGAGTTGGAAAATCCATGGTGTAACATGGTGTAACGCTCTTGACCGGTCCCGAGCTGAAGCTCCGCAAGGTGAACGAGGCGGCGACGAGGCGAACGGTGTCTTCGGGTGAACCACGGTGGCCTTGTGCTTTGATCTTCAACGTGTCGGTGCTCCCAATCGACCAAGCAATCCAGCATACGCATGTACAGTGCACAGCTGTAACCAAAAGAATAAAGACTCCCTTTGGTCACTTTGGTCACTGTAAAATCTGAAAGACTCCCTTTGATCACTGTAGACTGACATTGGCAGTCCCAAGCCCCCACCTTGTGTTGCACCTTTGCAGGCGTCCCCGACATGGCGAGCAAAACGTCGTGAAAGACGCGCACAGAAATTACTGGATATGCTTGATGTGTAGCATGTGCATGCATGTAGCAATCAAAAAGGTCGTAAATCATTTGATCATCCTTGGCTGGATTGGCTAGTGCTGGTGGTCTCGCTTTGCGATTTCAGGGTCCCTGGAAGGACATCTACAGGCACCTGTGAATGATCCTTCTGATCTATGGCACATTTCGAGTACGAAAAGGGTCCCATTGACGCAAACAAGGCACTAGCCGCAAACATAAACACAAACCGCGTCCGAAGGAGTCAGGCGATCGATTTCTTCTGCAATTGTCTCTATACGCTCTATAAAGAGAAACCTGCCTGAGCTCTCACGAAGATCATGACAAGCATTTGCAAACGAATCGAGCCCTTGCAAGTGCAGCACATCAAAAAAAGTAATGCCTTTCTTCCAGCACTCTGGGATACTCTTGGCTCCAACGGAACGAACATCTGGGCTCTCCAGGCATGAGCCGATTCAAGCCATTGGCCTCACAGCTTCCAGGTCATCCGGGTCCGTCGTTTGGGGGAGCGAGGCGAGCTTCCGGCGCTTCCGGGTCCACGAAACTCTTCCCGTCGTCCGTCGTGTATTTCGTTCGTCGCTCTGCAATCGCTCTGCAATCGCAAATACAAACTCTAGTAGCTTCTTGTTACTACTAATAAGGCCCTTGCTCCTATTAGCGATGCACTTGTTCCTATAGTAGCTTCTTGTTATTACTAGCGTCCTTGTTACTACTAGTAAGGCACTTGTTACTACAAGCGATGCACTTGTTACTAATAGCTTTATTGTTACTGTGGCATGGATGCCTGAATGCTGATTGAGGCAACGAAATCTTGGACAGGTCAGTGGCTTCTTAGCTTTCGCCGGCCGCCGGTCTTTCTTCACAGATCTGTTTACAGTTAGCTTTCCCATTCGCTTGCCACATGCATGGTCCATGGGTGCCATCTGGCGTTCTTGCTAGAGTAAGTAATCCTTTTGTTGGGACATTCCCCTCAAAATAAACCTGCTCCAAATACATGCGCCCCCCCCCCAAGTTCCGTGCAAGTTCCGCATCTGGCCTCGCTGGACTTGGACACGTGGACTGTGCGTTCCTGCAGATCCCAAAGGGTCAGGCGCAACAAACACGAAAACCGGAGAGAAGGAAAGTGCTTATTGGGCAGTCAGCTGTGCAGAATGTAATTATAAAATCAAATGCATTATATAGCATGATGGACACCTGGCCCAGGACATGTCAGGACTATTTGACTGATTGATGGTGGAACTGGAGTCAGCTGCTATACAATGCTGTAAAAGTACAACCTTCACATTGACGGAATAGGATGAACAATGCTCTGCTCGTACGGGTCCTCACGCTTTTCAGACGTTAACCTCAAGGCACGTATGCCATGGACAGGGTCTGCAGGGCATGTGAGTGTAAGCTTACAACTAGTCAATTCTGCTTCACAAGAGCATGAATTGAAAGGGGCCACTGGCAACTTCTCTCAAACCAAAGCCCTAGAAATCTACAGCGACCAACCGGACCGCAAGCGCCCAACCGGACCGCTGAAGATATGTTTGGGTCCCGCGCGACTTCATAGCAAGAGCAGCCTCAGGGCTTTCGCAGCCAAGTGATCTGCTGCTACATGTTTCCCAAGCACTCAAGATCCGGACAACTTGGCATGCATACAGGCAGCCAGAGACGCTGCGTCTTGAGTTCTGGCTAAACCTATAGTGTCTCAATTGTGGGGGGCTCTTCGTTCCACATGGCATTCACCATTAAATGCTTGAATCATGTCACGTTGGGCTCATGCACAACGATGCAATTCACGCATATCATATCATGATGAATGATGAATGATCTATAGTGAGTGATTCTGAATGTCATGTCAACACACTGACCTCTTAGACATTCTTAGACTACCCATAACCTAGGCATCTGTATAAGTAGCATCTGTGGCATAGCTGGTTCTGACATCTGTCCTTGGAGTCCTTGGAGTCCGAGTCCAAGCTGGAAATAGCAGCGGCATGAGCCATGCAGCAATCAGTAAACTGGTCATAGACAGGCCGAACGTCGTAGGCAGGCTGTTTCGGGTGGTTTCTGACGTTCAGCTGGTGTTCTGACGTACCTGCAACGGCGGGCATGCTTGTTTCGTACTCAGGTTGCTGGTCGGGGTTGCTGGTCGTACTGGCACTCTCCGCGCAGCTGCATCTTTTGTTGAAGCTGTCGGCTGTCATTGGTCAAGCGATTTCTTTGTCTTGAACACCAAAGCCTCATGTTCACCTTCCATGAATTACTTAATCTGAATTAATAGTCCTACGCAAAGTCGATCACAAAGGGATGACTTTGATCCGGTGCATCGTCGATGGTTTCCAACGCTCGTAGCTGGTACTACATGGCTGGTAGCCCTAGTCCCATGCTGCATGGGCTCAAAAATGGGCATTAGCAGTGCTCCTCCGTAGAATTAGCATCTCAGTTTCCACAAATCGCTTTTTTTTTCAAACTTAGAATCATAATGAATCAAAGATCCAAATCTAGGATCTCCTAGGCCATCTCCAAAACATTCTGTCTTCATCGACCATTCCGCTCACTTGGCAGAGGCCGGGAAGGGCTCCACGCGCTGCAGGTGCTGCCAGCCCGCAGGGAGCGCTTGGGTCTTGGGCATCCGAAGCACCATGCGAGGGGAGGGCCCACGCAACGCCCGGATTTGAATCTCATAGGCCATGCTCCCATAGGGCGTCAACCTCAGAAAGTCGGGCGTCTCTGGTTTCTGAGGTGTTTTCTCTGAGGTGTTTGGCTTCAAGCAATGTGAAGTGGCGAGCAAATCGAAGGCGCTCAGCGCATTCAAAAGTTCAAAGTCCGTCGTCGACATCTTCAAAAAATCATCTAATTCGACAGTTGTCTGTTTCCAAGCCTCAGAATTTGTTCGTCCAACCTTTCAACTATCATGGTCATCATGGTTGCAAGTCTTGCAGTAAAGCCATTTACCACATCCTTGCGATGTCTGCTCTCCTGCGGAATAGCATGACTTCACCAACAGTTTTGGAAAGCCTCAACAGTCCTCCGCACTATATACTGTAATTGGTTGAACATGTGTGTAAGCATGTTGCGCGCCAAACAACTATAGTATACAAGGTCGTCTCACAAACCCTCCGTGCAAACACCACAGCTTTTCAGGATCACTTGGGCCAGAGTGTTTTTCTAGAAAACATGCGTCAAATCCCTTGCAAACAATGCTGGTGTAATTCCACATCTTGGAACCCTTCAACTGCCACTTCACTCTCACTCTCACTTCACCCCCCTTTCTCCGTCGCCCAGCGACAGCGGCGCATCGGCGTCGCTCTCGTCCGAGGCCTCCTCGCTCTCGTAGTCCAGGTCCGTCGCCTTTGCCACCGCCTTCGTGGGCAGCTCGGTGTATGGACAGGAGTGGACCAACTGAAGAATTTGAGACTTGGTTTTGGCATAATTACTTGGTTTGGACCCTAAGACTCATCATCCACGTGATGGTTTGGCGGACTTTCGACCGCAGTTGTTCTGCCCGTTTCTGCACCCGGCGGCCTTCACGGAGCTTTCGATCTGGAGACCGATCTCCGCCACCACCTGCGGCCGATTCACCGCTCGGTGGATGTGAGAGGTGGAGTGACTCATTCAACCGGGAGGAGAGGACTATGGTGGGTGTGCCAAAATGGTGAGAATGGAGTTGAGAAGTTGGAGAGTGCCGAAACGAATCGTTTTCATTTCTCGACATGTCTTATGCAGCTATATAGAATAAGCGAACCAACAAAAAAACAACAAAAACATCTCAAACACTACACGTCAGTGTGGTGTTTACATGTTTTTCCTGCTCTGCAGGACCACACCGCCGCCGCCTTGTAGAAGTCCGTGAGGGCGCCAGCGCGCAAGGGTTCAATGAAGGAGCCCCGCGTCAGGAAGGCACAGCGGGGATCACCCAGAAAATTCGAGGTGAGGTCCAACGCGATGTCCTTAGGTCACCAATTTTGGTGAAGAAACCACACAGGAGACCACACACGAAAGCATAGGAAACCATAGGAAATCAATGTTGACAGTCCATTCATGTCCTTCCTTTCCTGGAAGATCAGGATCTGTGCCCCGCTGTTTCCCCCTAAACCCGTCGAACAAAGGTCCGGCACGTTCGCGTTCAATCAGGCGAAAAGGGATTCCAGACAGCCAAGCAGGATTTCTGACACTACAGCTATCGAAAGCTCTCTGAGGCGCCTTTCTAGGCAAAATATTGCGAAATTTAGATTTAGAATGATTTATATAGATAGACTTAGCCGCGGTGGGGCAATCCTCCATTTTAAGATGCCTTTTTCATACCAGCCGTCCCAGCGTCAGTGTCTGACTCTGGCACAGTCATCTCATTGGGCGTAACGCCCAAGTACTCCACATCTCCTTCATAGTCATTCAGAGACAATAACATCTTTGGCACCTGCTGGTCCATCTTGTATCCCGCACAGGGGATAAACAGGGTGTCGGAGGACTTCAAGGAGCCCAGCACGCGTGCGAGGTCCTGATTCCAGTTCTCCACGTCATCCTTGGCCAGGTCCCAAATGTCCAAGGCTCGGAAGTTCTCATAGTTCTCCTCAAACAATGCAAGCCAGGACAAGCTTGCTATGTGTGTTTCTATGTGTTTCTTAGGCTTGAGATGTCACACCCCGGTTTGATACCGCGTTCATGCTCGGGAACTAGAACTGGACAAATGTTCCGAGAGGGGTCAAAGTACTGGCGGGTAACCCGGGTACGAATATCACATAGAAACACGCAAAGGCATGGGTTCTTTTGAGTCTATACTACTACTGTACAATTTCAGTTCAAGGATTCCTTCATCATCCTGACATTCTCTTCCATTCTCTCTCTCTCTCTCTCCCTCCCTCTCTCCCTCCCTCTCCTCTCTCTCCCTTTCTCTCCCTCTCTCTCCCTTTCTCTCCCCTCCCCCCTGTAAATTCCATTATATGAACATCCCCTCCATTCATGATAATCATGTCCAGCGTGTACCCGCATGCCCCGCAGACTGCGGCGCAGAGCGTCCGCTTTCAGCACCAAGAGCTTGATCGGTGGGTACTTGCATCCGGTGGCCACCTTGCTGGCAGGAATGTAGCCCGGCACCTTCGCGATCCTCGGGCCGGTCGATTCGGCCCCTTCGGGTCGGGTCGTGGTGCTTTTCGACCTAGGCATCCGACCATCTCCGACCTGTCCTGCCTACACCTGTCGGATGCACCGTGCACCAGACCCGGCGACGGCACTGCCTCCGGTGTCCGAAGCCCGAGGAACACATCCAAGTCTGCCAAGGAGCGATTCAGTGTAGTCAGGGACACCTGCTTGGACCGCATGAAGGAACACCAACTCATCATTGGTGACCTCTCTCAATCCCTGCATCACTGGGCCATTCGCTGGCACACTCAACTTCATCTGCGCGGACCAATCGATGGAATCCCACATGCACATGACCACCAACCAGTAAACGGCATGGCAGAAGAAGATCCGAAACGCTTCCAAGGCCAAAAGGGCCAAGATCACCAAGCTCACCTAAGGGGATCGGGTACGCCGAGTGGTCGGGAGGATACGCGAGAGGTCGGGCCGGAGCTGAAGCCCGGCCCGTTGGCAAGTTGGCTGGGTGTTTGGAGCTGCGAAGGTCAAAAGAAACTTGTTGGGAACGGTTGAAAACCCTGGAACATATATGAAACTCATCGAACAAGAGATGACAAGACCTGAAAATCTGCTCTTGCAAAGGGCAGCTTGCAGTGCTGTAAGGCCCAACACCCGGCTGAAGCCAAACACTCAAGGCATTGAAGTACATCTGACTGGCCCCAAATTCGCCTACATCAAACTCGGCTCTCCACTTCAAGGCAGACAAGGTGTTGGGATTCCGTGTCTTACTCTTCCCCAAGAAGGGTGCAGCCACCACCAGCAAGACCGCGCACAAGATCCGCATGATGATCAACACCATCCGCGCATTCTTTAACCAACCATCATCGTTGAAGCTGCCCACAAAGCCCTCCGAGTTGACGAGTTCGATGATGGCCACGGGGAGCTCAATCAAGACCACGGGCCCCAGGAAGGCGGCAAAGCCCAAGAAGTGCAAGATGACCTCACGTCAAAAGACATGGGACCCCGAACAGAAACTCAACCTGTTTCTGGGAAATAATACAGATGTTGGAAACAAACATGGTACAAAGCCAGAGGAACTACATGCAAGAGTGCACTTGAGTGATGTTCCTCTATTTAAATTCCTGTGTAATATGAGATGCATGGCCCATATAGTGGTGTTTAATATGGTCACATACATACTCATCCGACATATCCTAGCATAAACCTTGAAGCAGCCGACTATAAAGGATGAACCAAGTCCAATTTTGTTTTTGAAGACAAGCCTCTCCATGTGTCAATCGAACACTCCCAAGGTCTACAGTAAGTCAGTCCAGTCTCTGCACACGGCATCGACCTCCTCCGGTCCTCTCCGGTCTCTCAACCCTTGGGCCCTCCGGTCTCCGGTCCGAGTCGCCCAGTTCAGCTGATACAGTAGCTCCACATTGGAGACGGCTCTCCCCTCGCGGATCTCCCGGTTGCCATCCCCGGCACCGGAGACCACGGGAGTCTGGAGCACCATCAGCAGGCCGAAGGGCGTCATTAAGCCGCGGGCGGCATGGAAGATGAAGCCCCACATATCTTCACCTTTCACGTGGTCGACCATGGAGAGGTGTTTGGACGACCGCTTCATGTGATGGAAAGAATCGAATCGAAAGAATCCAATAGAAGGCAAGAGGGATGCAATAGACACAGTGAGGTATTTTATGATATTTTATGATATGATATGACAGTGTTCATTGCAGTGTTCAATGAGTTTCCATTATCTTTGGTCAAGCCTGCAAGCATGTGAGAACAGGCACATTGGAAAGCTTGCCTCATCATGATTGACGCACCTGCCTTAAGGGACACGACGGCTTGTTTACTGTTTCCTTAAGCCACCAGCACCATGTGATGGAGAAAAGTGCGTTTCATGCACCTCAAACGACAGGCATAACATAGTACATAATACGCTTCATTATGCTGCGAATATCTATCGCAGGTAATTCTGCCTTGCCTCTTGTGTGTGTGTGCTTCTCAGATTTAGTTGGTTTTGTGTTACAGTATTTTGTATTTGTCCAGCCCACGCACACAGGTGTCCGTTTGTGTGATCACCCAATCCTTTCGCTTGTACACCTGAAGGAAAGTCCAACCAGCAAGCCATGAAAATTCCTCCAGTTGCAAGAGGTTTTAGCATACTGAAACCGCACATGTTGGATGAATGATGATGAATACAATTGAAACGCGACATATTTTTGGTGATGTTGTGTTTGAGAGGAGAAGTCGCAGGCACAGCAAATCGAGGTGCATCAAATGTTCGGCACCGAACACATGATTGCTTTGCGGATCTTTGAGGTGTGGATCAATCCCCACATCATGCTCGTCAGGTCTATGGCTATACGCTCCTCTTGCTCAACCGCCCCTCCACCAAAGCATCCAAGCACTTGTCCCGTCGGGCGCTTCGCGCTTGGCTTCGCGCTTCGTTCCGCGACGTGTCCGCGGCCTCCACAGCGCATCATGATGCCGCCGATGGCCATGATGATCGTGCTGGGCAGCACCATCGCCTTTGGCAGCGGTCGATGTGAGTGAGACTCCATCAGGTTCGAACGAGTTCAAACGGTTTCCAACATTTGGAAACAACAGACTCCACCAGAAATGGATTGGAAGTGGATCAGTCATGTCAGTCTTCGAGTCTACACCTGTGAGTGCTCAGAAGGTCCCCGACCAACATCCTTGGCAACCCCACGACCTGTGATTTGTGGCTGCAATGGTGAGTGCTCAGATGATAGATTTCAGTGACTATGGTATAGCCATGTACTTTGGACTATTATATAAAATCAAAAATAATGTGCATGATACATTATGACGCCTTCATCTTATACCCTCTTCCAATCCTTGATGTTCTTGCGCTCACGTCCAAAAAGAACAACCGATAGAATCGTCCCCAAAAATCGCCCTTGGATCCTCTCCGGCTTTCGTCCGTCTCCTCTCGGTCTCCTCGGTCCGGCCTTCACCATTTGACCCTCCGAGGTCGCTTCATCGCCAAAGGTCTGGGAGATGGTCTCGGGGTGCGTCCTGTCGGTCCGGTGTCGTCGGTGGAAACGATGGACGAGCTCTGCGCTCGTTCGTTGGACGTGCTCTGCCGCTGAATCCCTCGTGTGGTTTGTGAAAGTGGTCCTTTGTGATTCGTTTGCAAGGTTTCTTGGGGTCTATAAAGTGTATGTTTGGAGAACCTGTACAGTACGTTAGAGTGCATGTTCGATGACTCTCTGAAGAGACTTCCTGTCGTCGGAAAACTATCCAGTAAAATTCCAACGATAGGATCTGCCCAGGTCCTCATGAGCGCAGAATAGTCCGCTTTCCCCGTTTTTTGATACCTGATGCATGGAATGAGGCTCAAGAAGAGACCATGCCTGAAAGCCTTTCACCATCTTCCCTGCTGCCTAGTGCCGTCTGGTAAGAATGAACGATCTCGCTCAATCAACAAAATCGTGCAAAATCCATCATGTGTTGCAAGCTGTGTTGCCCTCACACGTCATACATCAACAACAAAAGACTGTGACTAGAACATTAACACCCTGGTAAACGAAGCTATACAGAAATTCTGAAAGCAGCATCAACATCCACAAACACCTGCGAAACTTTGCGAAACTTCTCTGTCTGGCTGCTTCTCTTTAAAGGCCTTGAAGTAGAGATGTCGATTGGCCGGCGACGAATACCAAACATCGATGGACGTCACAAAGGCCGCGTGGCACATCCGCGCGGCGAAGTAGACCACCACGGCCCCAACGCATTGCACCATGATCTGCGGATCGATGGTCATGGCAGCAAGGCGTGTGGAGAGCACAGCCAAGCTGCGCGGCGCACTTGTGCGACGTGGGGGGGGTTCGTCTCCAGTGGCTGCAGGGAGGGCAGCGCGCTGTGACCGGGGGTGGCACCGACGGTTGGATCACACCGACGGTCGTGAGTTTGGGGGTTCCCATCGTCGGGAAACACTCGACCGACGACATCGAAAGACGTGGCGCGCCTCGCGTACGCAGCGGAATGCTGTTCCTCGCCCTTGCCAATTGGTAGTTCCAAGTAGTTTCAGTATGTTTCAGTGGGTTAAGTGAGACAGGCCCAGGCGACAGGTGATGAGGCGAGATCATCCTTCTGCAAAAGAAAAAGCATATCAAATCATACAGCTTGAAGTAGTGCGGTCAGGGTCGAAGGGTTGAAGGGTCAATTTCAATAGCATGACATGTCGAAGACCCAGTTCCGAATTAGAATCCAGTTACCACACTGGCATCATGGGGTTCCTGAGAGCTAGTGATAATGAAACCTACAGATGCTGATGCTACAGTATCAAGAAAGAACATGCTCCTTTTTCGCAGTCCGCGATCAAACGTTCTGCCCTGCTTCTCCGCGAGCTTTCCCGTCCTGGGCACATGTGCTTGCTCTTGTTTGTCATGCCACAGACTTCATTGACTACAAACGAAACTGCAATGTGTAGAGATTACGGTACATCTCACACTCTTCATGACCCTTCATTCCACCTCCCGGCCATTTGGGCCCTTCCATCTATATATATTAAGCAGAACCTCCCAAAACGAATCCACACCTCTTGTCGCAGGATAGCAGTTGAAACTTGGGGCACTCCACCAGTTCATTCTCAAAGGTCCCCATGGCTGATAGTAGTCATCGATGTCTTCTCGTGATTGTGGGATTCTAATCTTTTGCCAGTTCAGTGATGCGTGGGACTTGAGGCTGCCGGCCTTCGCCTTGGCCTGGGCCATGTGCACAGCGGTCAGCAATGAGTTGGAACGAGTGAGACGGTATGGATGTTGTCCATGGCAAAGATTGGGCTATGCCGCTATGGTCACTAAGTTACACACCCTATGGGCTACCTATGGGGTCCTACTGTATGGGCCATCGAACACCCATTTGTGACCCCTCTGAAAAGCTTCAGACTTTACTAAGGAAGTTTGCTGGGTCGATCCCCAGGAAAGGAAAGTAAGAAGGGAAAGGAAAGGGTAAATACTAGAAACCGGGCAAGAAGGTGTCTCCGGTGTCTCCTTCAAGATCTACCGCAAACTGACGCACCCCCCAAAAGAAGGGTCGGCTTTGAGCTTTTCTGGCCCTTGGCCCTTGGCCACTTTGGTTGGCTTGTTCTTGGCTTCAAAAGCTGGAGCGAGTTGTGTGACACTTTTTGTCCTGCCAGTGGCACTATACATGTCCTTCCCTTTACTTGTTTCCTCTGCTGTCTTTCCTTCTTCCGTCCCTTTCCCTCTCTCTGGATTCCTTCCTCCTTCTCCTTCTTCCTTCCTTCCTTGAGCCACGGGCCAGTCCCTTCTTTTCTCGACCATATTGCCGATTAACATAATCTGACTTGAGTCGCCCCCATTAGGTGAGAAAATTGCACGAGTCAGTCTTGGGAATGTGTTGGGAGTGCATTTACCGCTAGGGCATGGGGTGAGGCACGTGATAGTATACGTTAAATACCCACGTGTCATGGTCATGGTCATTTAAGGGGACGCAATTCGTTCTGACCATCCCTCAATTCAATCGAACACTTCTTTGCCCACGTTGCTGAGGTGTCGGCCATCCCTCACTTCGCTTGCTGCGTGTTGACCTGCACGAGCGGAAGCAGTTGGACACCCTGAAATGCACTGATCAACACACAAATCATGCTACAGTCATAATCATAGTCAGGACGTATATACCAGTACCATAGTTAGTCATAGTCATAGTCATGCTACAGATTTCTACAGTGCCATATACTTTGTTTGGCATTTAAGTTCTGACCACATCCAGAACTGATTGTGCTGAGGGCAACTTGCGAACGCACCTGATTCCACATCGGAGCCTCCTCGGCTAGGTCCCGTTTCTGTCTAAAAAGCGGAAGCGGATCTCCTGGCATGACAAGACTTTGTTCGCAGAACTCCAAAGGTCATGCAGCAAATGCGCATGAGAAGCCCATCTTGTGTCCTGGTTCATCCTTGCCCGCTGCTTTGGTCTAGCGCAAGGTATCTGGTCGCTAGCCTCACGGCTGTCAGGACTTTAAAGAAGCTGCACTCCAAACAATCAGATTGGCCAACGAGTTGACCGGACCAGTAGCTCTGGCAGCAAAATTGAGCATGTAATTCCCCGTTGTGAACCTACTGTGGGTCACCCTGACCACTACGGCTGTGACTGGAACCAAAACACTCCGTCCCTTTTTTCGCCTCTTCTAATCTGGGCCGCTTTTCCGGCAAGTCGATGATCAAGTCCTGCACTTGTCGCCGCGTTTTGGTTGCATCTGCCAAGGCTCAAAGAAGTACAAAAGCCACGTGTTTTGGCAAAGAAACTATGCCTACCAGGAGTCACATGTCGGGGTGGTTTTTAGTCCCCAAGTGAGTGGATAGTGGGCACCCCGACATGTGACTCCTGGTGGGTATACTAAATCGCGAGAGCAAGGTGGCGCAGTAATTGCAAATCCGTCACAATGCTTGGCTGGATTTTCGCGGGATTGCCTAACGAAAACCTCAGCGGTAGTGGCCGTTGTCCAATTCCAAATTGAATTCCCGTACTCTTGGTGTACCAGAAGCCCCCGGCTGTTGAAATTTTAAGAGCCAATTGAGCCAATGCCATAGACATGCTCAACATCTGCAGCCTTGAATTGACTGCAGGAGCTCATACCTGGGCTTTTGGCGTCCTCCGCACGCTGCTTGGGCCTTGCCATGGCTTTGCTGCGGCTGGGCGCCTGGCAGAGCCGTGCGGCCGACATGAAACACACATTGACTACACTACTTGGTTCCAAATACCTGCCCAAACCTCGTGGTCCTCTGTGCCAGGGAAATGCTGAACTGCATCACCTGATCTTAACGACCCAGGAAAGAACGACCAAGTGCAGCGAAGTGGTTCGATCACCCAAGGACGTTGCGCAAGTTCTGTGTCAGAAGTGCAGGACATCAAATCTTGTTTTTGCATGTTTTTGCTCTTTCGCTACTCATGGGTTCTCATCACGTCACCACATAGTTCAATTCAAACAGCGGTTCGTGGGCGTTTGTCACTCATGGGGCACCCATCAGACCCACTCCACTCCCCAAGAACTGCTCCAGCCGGCACCGTGCCTGAGGGGAACGGGACTCCTGGAGGCCGAAACCGGCGACCGAGGGCGTGGTCTCCGAGCGGAGAAAGCGGCCCCCAAAGGTCGAGACAACGAGTCGTCCTTGGCTGACTCGGGCTCTGAGGGTTCCTGCGGTCAATCTCAAACGGAGGGTCCCATCTGGACCTACACTTTTGGCTGCTGAGCCACTGAGTGCTTGTTCAGACTCTTGCACTTCCAGATATGACAGCATCTAAAATCTAAACTTCTAAACTGGCCAGCTTTCCAAAAGCCATGAGTCCAGGCGGTCTGACCATGGGACTTTGAGCTGCGCAACGCAGAGTTTGCCCCTCAGGATGAACACTGCTTTGGCTGGTGGAGTCATTCTGTCGTAAGAGGTCATAAGTCATAAGTGGCATAGCGTCATAGCCTATCATTGGCTTCCCTTCCCAAGAGTAGAATTCCCATATGTTCCCATCCATCTCAACCACCGCGGTCAGTGTGGCCTCAGTAGCGCTCAGCCTCAAGACAAATGGCACGGATGCATGTATGTCTCAAACTCCCTTCAGTGAATGGATCCTGGGAATATACTGTAATATACCTCAAATTACCTCAAGAAGAAAGGCTAATGAAAAAAACAACAAACACTCCTTTTGGGATCTCGCAACAGGATGTTTTCTCAGTTGTGTCCTTGAGGCAAAGAACCCCACCGGTTGAATACATTGATTCAACTAACCTTCAACATCGAAACAAAGAATCACTACTTCGTCTTGGACGCGGTGAAACCACCGGGCGGTCTTCGCCCCGTTGCCCTTAGGCGGCGCCACACATGGCGCCCTTCATGGCTTTCTGCTGAGGAGCGGCAGAGGTCAGGAGCCCACTACGAATCTGCGACTCGAGGCCACCGACACTTGAAGGGCCATGGGGGACCACGATGGAGTTGTGAGTTGAAGCAAAGTCCTTCAAAGTGTCCAGGTACTGAGTCAGAATCATCATGTGCATGGCTTCCTTGGTGATGTTGGGAGAAGTCGGACAAAAATTGCTATATACTCAAATGCACTTACTTCCAGTATCTGCCAGTGCTAGTGACTAGTGCTAGTGCTGGTGCTAGTGCTAGTGCTAGTGCTAGTGCTGCTGCTGGCTACTTGCCATTACATTCGGAACAATGCATTCAAATGGCTGATATATGCTGATATATGCTGATATGATATATTGTTGTAACTTGTAATGTTGCATCCTAATTAGTAAATTGGGACGGAATAATAAAAGTTTTGACCAAATTATGCACACACACCCTGATTAGTTTAATGGGTCGGAATCAAAAAGTGTGTTTTCACCCAGTGTGTTTTTGTGCGATGTGTGTGTTTTTCTATTGTTCTGCTATTGCTCACCCTTTAACATCCTTACTTCACTCTCCTGAGGTTTGCTTGATTCATGGAATTCTTACCTGAAAGTCGTTTTCAAAAATGCTTATTAAAACTCAACGATTTCATTGCTCCAAACAACTTTTCAAGGGGGTAGTACACAAACCCAGGGGTATGAATTGTTTAGGGGGTGCGATGAATAAGCAAACTTGGAGCCCTACGGGAAAAAATCTAACGTTTTTATTGTTCTGCTATTGCTGCCCTTTGAAATCGTTTCTTAAAACTCAACGATTCCATTGCTCCAAACAATTGTTCAAGGGGGTGGTGCACAATTATTTCTGGGGTGGGATTTATAAGCAAACTTGGAGCCCTACGCGAAAAATCTTACTATATTATAGCTGCCCTTTCAAATCCTTACTTATCTCTTCCACTACTACTACGACTACTACTACTACTACTACTACTACGACTACGACTACGACTACGACTACGATTACGACTACTGCTGCTACTACTACTACCACCACCACTACTACCACTACCACTACCACTACCACTACCACTACCCCTCCTCTCCTACTCCTACTCCTACTCCGACTCCTACTACTCCTGCTCCTACTCCTACTCCTACTCCTACTCCTACTACTACTACTACTACTGCTACTACTGCTACTACTGCTACTACTACTACTACTGTTTGTGGCGGTGATACTCT